TATTATTATTATTATTATTATTATTATATTATTATTATTATTATTATTATTATTATTATTATTATTATTATTATTATTATTATTATTATTATTATTATATTATTATTATTATTATTATTATTAAATTAGGTTTATTAATATTGTCGTCAATGTCTTCATCGTGACACGGATGGAAAATTCATGAAAGTAAACAGAATTTCAGTTTTTTTCATGGATTTTACTATAATTATATGATTTAAAATGGTGAATTCCTTGATTTATGGAATAATTTTGAATGATTCATTATATTTTGCATTTTGTTTCACTTCAAATTTTGCCCCAAAAAAGAGAGAATTCAACGGTGCAGTATATAATGATAGTATTTATTACTAAATAATAATAATTGTGATAATAAGGCAAATTAATTAATCAATCATTTAATTACTTGTTCACCGATCCGGAATGCTGTTGATAAAGTGAACTTTGGTTCCGTTCGTTCCTTCCGTAATGTAGTCAAATTTTTCCCCAATATTTGCATTACAATGTACGGATAATTCTTTTCGGTTTTACCACTTGCATATATTATTGGTATATTAGGCTATAGAAATGTTAAAAATATGCAAAAAAAAATTCCAACTCGAAAAATTTATTAATAATTAAATACGAAATTCTCAAGAAAAAAAGTAATAATAATTGAATTTCTTTGGTTTTGCTATATTTCATTCTGCATTTTAACTTGTTAAAATTACCAAAACTAAATCTACAAACAGCTAATATTGTGTAAATATTCTTCAATGAGTTTTGAATTTCAATAATTAGTAACTAATATATTATGTTTATTTAATTTTCCATCATATATTTAAATATATTTAAGGGTACCGTATATTTGAAAGGTACCCTTCTGACCTATTATTAATGCAAGTAATATTTTTTATATTTATCAATTAAAAAATATTTCAAATTTTTAGTCTCTTGGGATATATTTAAACATAGAGCTTCTTAATTTTAATTTATGAACAGAATGTTTCAATTGGAAATAAATTATTTTCTGTTTTAGATTAAATTTATTAATTCCAATTTCAATTAATTTATAAAAGATTAGTTCATTTTTAATACTTTATCTTTTTTATTTTCAATTAGGATAATATTAAAATAAATGATCAAATTGAGAGACCTTTTTGCGTAAAATTAGAAGAACCTGCTGTTCAATGACTAAACGACGCGGATCATTCGGCGCATCATTTAATTCACCCTGATATTCTGGTTCAACCTTTATTGCTACCATTCGTTTTTGACGTTTATCCTTTCCTCTGCCAATGGAATGAAATATTTATCAAAAAAAGGCCTTAATTTAATTTCAAAAAACTATTTCATTCTCTGCTTTAATTTATTTTTCCCTAATATTTCGTTAAACGAAACTTTAAAATCTTAATTTTTGAAATTAAAAGAATGTTTAACTTAAAATTAAAATTAATTAATTGAAAAAACTTTTTCATTTTATTTGCTGATGAGGAAACGGAAAATGTAGGAAGGAATAGAAATTGCACGTTGTTTTCGATGAATATCACATGTTTATTTTTCCGGATTTTTAGCAATTCATTTAAATAATTCCGGCGATTAAAATATGCATTTAATTCTACAATTGATTAAGTGACTAATTGACTGATTAATAAAATGAATAAATTAACTAAATTAGTAAGTGAACTAAGAATGAAGTTATATTTAAATAGCTTTTCTTCCCATTCAAAATCCCTTGAAATTTATTTCGTTTTTTTACTTCCTTTTTGTCTCATTAAAATTGCAATTAAAAACCACTAATATGACAGCGATGAAGTAATGATTGAATTCTTAGGCATTTCATTAAAATTTTATTGAAATGAAATCATGTCGTCATTCGAATAAAGCCAAATGAATCGAATATTTTTGAAGGAAAATTTTTTTTATAAATTTTTAAAAAGCTTTAGACAAAAGTAGGAAAAAGGAAACTGTTTGCAAAAAAAACTTAAATTATAATATAATTTCATTGCATTAAATATTACAGTATATGATGATAAATGGATAGATGATAAAAAGCTAAAGTAATATTTCAAATTATTTATTAATTAAATCAAATGCCTACCTATAAATTTGTCCAAAACTTCCTTGTCCAATTTTTTCTTCCACAATAAAACGGTCAGCAACAATTTCATTTGCTGACAATAAATCTTTCGTTCCATTTAAATTATCTAAACTATTATCAGTAATTACGTATACATATTTATCAGTAATTACGCACACATTTAAATTATTTAAATTATTATCAATAGTTACAGTATATACATATTTATTATCATTCATATATGATTTTTTTCTTTTTCCTTTTTTTCATCAATCGTTGATAGATATCTTTTTCTAAATTTCAATAGCATTAAGTGCAATTCAATTTCAACTAAATTAATTCAAAAATTTAACAATATGAGGTATATTACCTGGCATAGCACTTTGATCATACGCCGAAGCCATAGTGAATTAAATCGAATACAAATCAAACCTAAATTTGATTTTTAATCTGAACCTTAATTTGAACATAAACCTAAACATGAATTGATTAATGCAACTACCCTTTTACAATAATAAGTGTAACAATTAGCATTTAATTACATTCATCTGATATATCTATCCGAGGATTTTTGTAAATTTTTTTTTTGCATATTTATGCTAATTAAGCTCATTTTATTACTTCATTAAATTAAGTACCAAATTTGTTTAAATTCAAATATAATACGGTTTTTTTTCAAATAATTTTTGATTAATGCAACTATCCTTCCACAATAATAAATGTAACAATTAGCATTTAATTACATTCATCTGATATATCTATCCGAGGATTTTTTGTAAATTTTTTAAACATATTTATTCAGTTCCTCATTGCTTTTTGACTAGTCATAATTTTACTTTTAATAACTCATTTAAGAATTACTTTTAAATCCGCCCCCTTTAGGTTTGCATTAGATCTTAAAATACCTTACAGTACTCTTTACTGAGAGTACCAACCTGCTTTAATTTTCCATTAAATATCTCTCAATCTTGCTTTCCTCTTCACGGAATATTTCTTTGCCTTACTTTTCTCGAAATATCTCTCGACTCCCGAATAACTCTCGATTTTACTAACCCTCAGAATATCTCTCTGTCTTAATTCCCTCCGAATATCATATTACATTAACTTCATATAAGCAAATTTACTGAACTAACTTTACATCATACTTTATTCATTAGTTTTTTTTTCTGGATAAACTTCTTTCGTTTTAATTTTTTTTTTTGCTATTCTATTTTCTTCTTTCTCAATCGTCTTGTTTTCGTTTTTCCCACACTCTTTTTCTAATAACAGTTTTCCTTTTTGTTTCCCCTTTTTCTTTTCCATTTTTATTTCATTTCCCTTTTTCTTTTCCACTTTTATTTCATTCCCCTTTTTCCCAATATTCAAATCAAAAAAATTTTTTTGTTTGTTTGCAACTGATTAAATCAGGTTGATTTAAATAAGAATTTTATTTATTACTAATTTCTTTCCCTTATGCCAATTTTCTCCTCGATAATTTTTCTTACATTTCTTTTTCTCTTCTCCTTTCTCTCCCTTTTTTCTCTCTATCTCCTTCCGTTTCTCTCTCTACCCAAAATTACATTCAAAAGAAAAAAAGAATGGAAATTTAATTGGAATAATTGATAATGCTCTGGTATTGGTTTTAAAATGATAATTTCATTACAAATACTAAAAAAAATAAGCCCTGTTTCTCTTTCTTAAAATGTATTTTAATATTCATCCCATCTCTCCCTCTCTCCCCCTCTCTCTCCCTGTTTCTCTCTTTTTCTCCTTCTTCAATTCCTGAAAAATTTATTACTTTTTTTCTTTCTTGAAAAGGTATTATTAAATTTTTCTTTTCGCCTTGTAAGAATTGTGGATGGATTATTATAATGTTTATGTGTAAAAATTTTTAAAATTTAACTGAAGAAAGAAAAAAAACATTTCCGGTCATTGATTAATTTTCAAATTATTGCGAAAATATCACTAGTTTGGTCAGCATTAAATTGGTCAAAATGACCAATGGATAGTTTTATCATTTCGTTTTATAATTTTAATCGATTAATGGAATAATTTAGCAGATGATATCAATGAAATTACATGCAAATATATCAAAAAGGACAATGAGATGGTATTAAGATTAAAGAAACCGGAAGAAGCAATAAGATTGAATGAGGCGGAGGAGTTAATTAATAAAGATTATTAATTATGATAAGGAATTGCAAAAATTACAAATCAATAATTTTCATTCTAATTAAATCTAAATAATAAGAATTAAAAAACAAAAACTATAAGTGCTATTGTCTTTTCATCAGTAAAATTAATTTTTGCGAAAAAGGAAAATTTTATTTGTTAATTTTGGTATTTTCTCAAAAGCAAAAAAAAAGAAGGACTGGAGATTAAAAATAAAAAATGAAAAAAAGTTAAAGAAATGAAACGATATGTTTATCCATTCGATTTGTTGATATCTTTCAAATTATCTGTCCTCTGTTTGACCTTTTTGACCTTTCCATAACAACAAATTACATTTTTTTTCACTTGATGTTTTATAAAAATTAAAGACGAAAATTCAATTTTCTATTCAATTCGTTTCTCTCAGAAAATATATCACAATTTTCGTATATTTCATCAATTTTTTTTATCAATTATTTCGAATTTTAACACATTTTGAAACCTTTTACTTAATCATTAAAGCTGCATCTAAATGTTAAAGTTTAACTAATAATCATTTTTTTAATCACTAATAATCCCTTTTTTCTTAATTTCAAAATTTGGTCATTTTTTGACCAACAATGACCTTTTTCTTTTAATTTTTTAATCATTTAATTTTAATGGTCTTTTTTTTAATCGTTTAATTCTAATGATCTTCTTTTTCTAATCTTTTAATCATTTAATTCTAATGGCCTTTTTTTTAACTTCTAGTCATTTAATTCCAATGACCTCTTTTTTTTTAATACAGCTTTGATTAAATTTTATCCGTTTTGAATATTTTCTTATCAATAGAATAATGCAATTTTGTCACCCATTGCGATAATAATTGTTAAAGGCTTTTTGCAAAGTTCAAATGCTTTAAATATTATTTTATAGGAATCAAAAAAAAAGATTTCTTTTTTCTTACAAAGTAATTTACTATTTGAAGTGAAATTTTATGAAAACAAAAATAAAATATATTGCTGAAATATTTAATAATTGCAAAAAAAATTTCAAAAGTTGTTCGTACTTCTATTTATTTATCGTAAAAATTGTAAAAAATAAAAAAAACGAAAAAATTTACAATCATTTTTTAACTTGTTTTTTGAACTTTTTTGATAAAAACAAAATTTAAATGAACTTATTTGAGCCTCTTTCACTTTCTTGAAATTTTCAATGCATGAGAAAATGAGTTTTAAAGAGAGGAAAAAAGAAAAAAAAAGCACAAAAAAGAATGCAAAAAATAGTTCAAAAAAAGACAAGGAAAAAGAAAAGCAAAAATTTCATTTATTCTTTAAAGGGAATTTGAAAAAACTCGATCGAATTTGATTTATTTAAAAGTTACAAAAAAAAAGATCAATAGGTATTAAATAAAAAGATTGAAAAGACGAAAGAAATAATAAAATTAAATATCGAAGAAAAGAAAAAAAAAGGTGAAAGAAAATGTGCATGAAAATCTCCTATGAGTATGGCTCTAGCTCAAATGGTCTATTTGCGCCTAGCATATTATGCTTGCGAGTTATCAAGACTTTTTTTATTATCAATATCATTAGTCAATATACTTGCAACTTGTTGGTGCTTTTTTGTTGTCAATATTGTTTTCAATACTTGCAACTTATCTGTACTTTTTTATTATCAATGCCTTTATCAATACTTGCAACTTATTGATACTTCTTTGTTGTCAATATTATTGCCAATACTTACAACTTATCAATACTTTTTTGTTATCAATGTTATCAACACTTGCCATTGTTGTCAAAACTTTCATGTTGTCAATACTTTTTTGTTGTCAGCACTATTATTAATACTTACAACTTATCAATACTTTCGTCCCTCACAGTAAATTTTCATTAGCATTTGCTTTTTACATAGAATGTTACGACAATTTCATTTTAATTTCATCCATTCTTTTCACGAAATTTTTTTTTAAACTATTACAATTTTTTTTATTTTCCATGACCAATAGTAAAACTAACATTATGCCATTTTATATACTATACTGTTTTATGATATACCTATACATATACCTTATGGCATTTTATATACTTATACTGTCATATGATACTCTAATACTGTGCGATATTTTATAGACTGTACTATTTCTTCATTTTTAATAACTTAAAAAATTTATTCAATTTATGATATCATGTGTGATAAACGATAAATATGACATATCTATACCTATGCTTGATGATATTTTATACATTATGCATGTTATATGATACATTTAAATGATATTTTCAAAAATGATAATGATATTTAAAAAATGATAGATGATATTTCCTATACTTTATTATCATATAACAGCAGGCAGACCTGATATACCATTTCATATGTTATTATAGATTTAATTTCGGATTAAACATTCATTATTTCAAAGATTATTTGAATAATAATTGGATTTTGATCGAACAAAATTATGATAAATTTCTTGTATTCGACATGTTATATTTAATAACTAAAATTTGGAAAAAATTAAACAAAACATATTTATTTATGAATTTTTTCTATTAGAATGGAAATTTTAAACATCCACACAGTTTTTGAAAATTTTCAAAAAAGCATGCTAAATATAAGTTTAAAATTAATATATTTATAATTCGATATCAATTTCTTTATCATATTTAATTATTTTCATTAATTTATTAAAATTTGTTTATGATCTTTCATGTTTCATTTTAATTCAATGCTAACTTCAATTCTTTAACTACCATTGATAATTAAAATACACTCCAATCAATTTACTATCAACTCCTCTACCTTTTTCCTTTCATACATTTATCTGAAACTATTATATTTTTTAATGCAAACTAATATTTTTTAATTCCCATATCATTCATTTAACTGATATCTTTAGCCAAATAACAATATTAATTATTAGCTATAGAATATGCAAATATCCTGATATCAATTAAGGATCATTCTTGTCTTACTAAACATCTAAGTAGTGTAATTGATTCATAGTTTGACTAAAAATTATCATATCATTAATGCTATTCTTGTAAATTGTATTCAGTAATGATTATTATACCACTAATGTTATTCCTGTAAATTGTATTCATTAATAATTATCATGTCATTAATGCTATCACTGTAAATTGTATGCATCAATAATTATCATATTGTCAATATTATTCCTGCAAATTGTATTCAGTAATAATTATCATATTACTAATGTCATTACTGTAAATTATATTGAGTGATAATTATCATATCATCAATGTTATTACTGTAAATTCTATTCCATCATTAATGT